AAGAAAGCAGCCAACCAAATACTTTTTGGACCTGGCCCTTCTATTGGCCTGACAAAATCGGTAGTGCAAACCTAATCAAAGAACATACCCTTGTGAAATTCAAGGAAAGATGGGATGAAACAAGAAACTGCAGAGTTGCCAGGAAGCTCTTAAGTTATCCTGACAACACTGCAGCAAACAAATACTTGACTATGACTAGACAGAATCTGCGTCTGGTCACAGGCATTCTGACTGGTCATTGCCAAGTACGGAAGCATCTCCATATCACGGGGCTGTCAGAATCCACACTCTGCAGAGAGTGCGAACAAGAAGATGAGACCATCGAGCATATCCTTAACGATTGCTCGATGCTCTCATTTATTAGAAGATTTGTGTTCGGCGAGTATCGGCTAACACCGGCCGATATAAGAGAAGCACCTCTTGGCGACGTTGTCAACTACATTAAATCTGTAGACTGGCTCACGAGCTAGGAGGTGCCTATCTTCTCAGGAGGATGCACAATGGGCCTAATGAGGCCTAAGTGCCGTGGGGTAACCCACTCTCCACACATTACAGATACAGATACCCTGTATATTCACTGTCAACGAAAATAGTGAAAAATTAAAATTTCATACTTTTCTCAAAATATTTTCATTACGGTCCATTTTAGAGAAATCACGTATTAAACAAAAATTATAGATATCGCAAACAATTTTTATTTGAAGAATTTTCTTCCCCAATTGTAAATAACAGAGATATTCGTTAAAATAAAAAAAACGACACCCTTTAAAGTATCCTCTCCTAGATGCTCCGACTATGCCCAAGGATGGATTAAAGCTTAGGTTTAAAATTTGATGTTTTTCTCTTTTTACAGATATCTATAAAGGATAGCTTTTTTAAACTTTGGCAAGAACCTGTTTTTTAAGCGCTATTTTTTTTCTACTAGAACTCCAACTATTTGTATTTTGTTTCTACATAATTGTTTTCAGTGATTGCATGGGTACTAATTTCTTTTTTTTTATTTTGTAGAAACAACGAAGTGATATATTTTCTAAAATGCAAATATTTAATTTATAAACTTAAAGTTACTTTAATTTATTTAGTAATCAATTTGACAAATTATAAAAATAAATCAATAAAGCTTATTAGGATTTCTGACTATTTACAAGTTATACAAATAATTTTAAAAAACCGACTACAAAAATGAAGAGTTTGATGTTTTTCTCATGGACAGATTTATAAGGGATTATCCCTGAGGTATCCCTTCTAAACAAAAATGGATCATAGTAATCAGATAACGTGGTAAAAAAATATTCCAACGAATTGAGATACTCCTCCTTTTTTAAAGCCGGTTAAAAATTATTTAATGGCGACTAGAAAATCTTGGGCTGGAAAAATGCTTAGTCCGTTACTGTCTCCAGGCATTCGATGCAATTATTAACATATTTTAAATAATACAAAATGGATATTAATGGCCTCTTTGCGTAAACGTAATATCTGGAAATTTTTATAAACGAAATTACATGTAATTACAATGTAAAGATCTTGGAAGTATTAATTTAAGTTAATTTGATAAGATTAAAACAAAATTAACAACATGAACATTATTGAAAAGTTCTGGATTCGAAATAACGGTAATTTTTAAGATATTAAAAAAAGTCGTTGGGTACGCAAATTTATAATTTTTTTAAGGTACCTAAGTATAGTTGATTATTCTTTATGATTAATATTATTTACAAGCATGTTATTTTCTAGTTTCTTTTATTCTTTTTATGTTGTTTCCTAGTTCGTTTACATATTATTACAGTACTACAATATTACAATATAAATAAACTTCATAGAGCGTTCTTTTTCAACATTTTCAACCTGCATGTCACGACCATGTCGCGACGCGGGTTCAAATCTCGATAGAAGCAATCTATGTTTTGATTTTGTAAAAATATAAATATTGAAAATATACAGATATTGTAGTTTATTTATTTTAAATATCTATATTTTATTTACATATTTTAATATTATAATATATTTTAATTATTGTTCAGAAAAAATTAAGTAGATAAGTGGGTAATCATCTTTAATAATAAATAAGTTCTTGGATAATCCTAAAACCTCATTTTTAATTTTTAAATAATTTATTTAGACAAATACATATACTTAAATAACAAAAAAAACGTAATACATGTATCAAAAATAAAAGTGTAATTAATATTTATACATAATGAAAGAAGGTATATTAAATGATACATACAGTGTGAGTCTAAAGTCCCTCCCCCTGTTTATTTTTTGAACCGTAAAAGTTAAAAATTTGAAATTTTTGGAAACTGAATTAATATGTACTACCTTTTTAATAATATTAGGAGACGTAATCATTAAAAATCTGATGTGTCCAACACATGACTTTCCTATCTAGTTATTACAGGCTTTTTCCGTTTATTTTGTACAACCTATTGCAGCACCCCTATAAATGTTTAAAGGAAGATAAACTAAATATTTACATTTTCCACATATATCTACCTCGAAACATTTTTCTATACATATTCATTGAAAACGAAAATACTGAAAAATATAAATTTAGCACTTTTCCTACAATTTTTCCATTACGGTCCATTTTAGAAAAATGATGTATAAACAAAAATTATAGAAATCGATATCGCAAACAATTTTCATAAAAATCAGAATTTTGCACATTTTGTCAAATTTCTCGAATACGGACCATTTCAGGAAATTTTTACATAAAGCAAAAATTATAGATAATAATATTAAAAGTAACTTTTATTTGAACAATTTTTTTCTCCAAACATAAATAACAGATATATTCCATAAAATATAAAAACGGCCTCCCATAAAGTACCCTCCCAGATGTTCCGACTTTGTCCAATATCTAATCATTTCATGTCAGGCCGAAATAAAACTTAAGTTTAAAATTTAATGTTTTTTTCTTTATCCGTTTTTGAGTTTTCTTCAAATTTCGAAATTTACACATTTTCTCAAATATCTCGAATATGGTCCATTTTAGAGAAATTATGTATAGGATAAAAATTATAGAGAAACAATTTTTATAAAAAAATATTTTTTTACATTTTGTCAAATTTCTCGAATACGGACCATTTTAGGAAAATTTTGTATAAAACAAAAATTATAGATAATTATATAAGAACACGAACACAAACACACAAACACACACACACACACACACACACACACACACACACACACACACACACACACACACACACACACGCACGCACGCACGCACGCACTCACGCACTCACGCACTCACGCACTCACGCACTCACGCACTCACGCACGCACTCACGCACGCACGCACACACGCACGCACACGCACGCACACGCACGCACACGCACGCACACGCAAACGCACACGCAGACGCAGACATCATCTCGAAAATATTCAAAACGTAAAAATCCGTCGAAAACCGGAGGTCGAAAAAAATCATGATTCCTATACAGATAGGAAAGTAAAAAATCAATGATAAAAATTTAATCATCTTATCGATTTTACTATTAATATGTACATTAGATAAATCAAAATAGAAATGATGCGTCTACTTTTGATATCTGATGCGGAAAGCAGATTCATATTTACACATGGGCGGAAAGTAGATCCTTATCCACTCGGTATATCTACAGGACATTTCCCATCAGACTAAATAGTGTCATATATGGTCGCAGGAAATTTTTTTTTCCTACGACCACTTAGGAAAGTGACACATATCACACTATATAGTCCTATGGAAAGTGCTCTATATCACACGCGTATAAATAAGAATTTACTTTCCACCCGAGTGAGAATATGTTACTTTCTGCAGTAGTTGTCACAAAATGTCAAACACCTAATTTTTATTTTGATCTATGTAATATCCATATTAATACTAAAATCGATATGATTGTTAAATTATTGAAATTGTTGTAAATTAAATCCTAGACATTTATCTTTAACAATTTTCAAATCCTGGCGGGGCAGAATTTTTTTTTTGTTTTTTTTTTTATTTTTTTTTTTTTAGTTTTCTTTTGTTTAGAAAATATGAAAATTGAATAAATTCGATTATTGTTGATTATTTTTTTAAATACATTTTAATTATAATAGTAATAATAACCTTGGTTTTAGATTTTTTTTGATGACATTATTTTGTGGTCGTAGGAAAAATATTGTACATCACTTGTGTGAAAAGTGATTTTCCACACTCGTAATGTAATATACTATATCTTCATGCATTTTTTTTTATATCTGTTGGTTGCTATATTTCATTCATTTACTGCTTAATTTTTCGCTTCTCATTATTTCTACTGTTTTGTTTACGTACATGGTGTTTTATTATTTTTCTTCTTGTATTACCTATTACGCTATTTCCAATTCAATATTTAATACTGTCAAATATCTTTGAAATAAGGTGAAACTTTTTTACGTTACATTTTATAACAGGTAGACATTTACCTACTAAAATTTTCGGTCAGACTAAATACATTGGATCCTCATTGATGCCTTTACGTAGATACCTATATATTTTCCAAGGAAGGTGATAGGTAATAAACAATATTATGAATTCCAAATAGAGAAAAGTATAATTACAAAAGTAATAAAATTAAAATCCTTTTTACCTAAGGTAAAAAAAAATGTATCAAACATAGGTACCTAATACAAATAATTTTACCTATAGAACCATTTTATGACATGTACCTATTATCTTCAAAATTGATACTGACTTTTGATTAGAATATCTATATGTCCCCCAAAGCATCAATAAATATCTATTTTATTATTATTGCTAAAATAGCACAAAAAAGCATAAATCGATCTGTTCTGCAGTAGAAATTTATGATTGTTTATTTAATTTAATTTTTCACTAAAAATTATTATTATGCTCCCAATTAAATTACTAAAAATATTAAATAATTATATTAACATTTAAGATTAGTGCGATATAAAAATATAGTTTCATGACAACAAATAAAACCATTGAAAAAACTACATTTCTTCCGAATCGAGTCAAATCACCTACCTCGTCATCCCCGTTTTCCTGGTGCTGATCCCCGTGCTCGTCCATAAGCACAAACTCAACATCATTATTGTTAATTTTCAAATCGGGCGACCTCCTCACTATTTCGTTCACGATGATCCTGCTTCTCTTCCTTCGGGAATTCAGCAAATCCACAGTCAGATGGTCACTTGCCGGCGAATCGGGAGAGTCTGAATGACTATCCATCGTCAGTCACTAAAGGCACATTTCGTACGGGAAAGAAGAAGAGATGGATCAAGGAAGGCCGTTGAGTTGCGAGAAAGCTCGAGGCGTACTGACGTCTTTGGTTGCCGCGAGCAAGAGTGACCAATCGAGGGGGAAGAGGAGGTCGATGGTACCAGGGCCGGACGCTGCCTCTGGTACTTATTCCGTGATGGTCAAGGCAAATCTTGTTTGTATGGAGCACTTCGATTGCTTAACGTGAAAAGCAGGTGGAGTGAGCAGTGAATGACTCGGTGCGTATTTAATGAAATTTTAACTGGATTTGGTTCGCGTTTATTAGGTTGTTTTGAGATGAACCATTAGGGACTTTAAATTACTTATTAAAAAATGTTATCTTAAGAACATGTAGGTAGGTATGTAAGCTAAAAACGAGTATAAGTGTAGATATGTGTAAGTTAATTCAGCTTTTCTTCTGATTGGAATAAAATAAAAGGTTTTTTTTATACGTAGATTGGGTATTTTTATATTAATACAATATGCGGGTACGGTCGACTTTAGGTCCAGTAAAATTTTAAAGAAATTTATTTTTTATTAGAAAGAGCGTATTTTAAATAGTACATTTAAAAAAAAAAATGCTGTAAATGCATTATTTAAGACAAAAAAATTATTTAATTTCTATAAAAATCAGCATTTTGACGACTGTAAACATGGAAACTCGATGGTTTCTGTCAAATTTAGTAAATGTAATTACAACGTTGCCGGATTGTGATAAAATTAGTAGTTAATGGAAAATTGTGAATGCGCATACCGATCCATAAATATGCAACAAGAAAACGAAGCAACGACTTATCGTAGGGTGGCGGCTTCGCCGCCACCCTACCATAAGTCGTAGAGTGGCGGCTTCGCCGCCACCAAAAAACATTAACCCATACCTGGCTACGCCGACCGGCATAGACTCCAACGGCCTGGACACAGCTCAAATTGAATTGAAAACGTAAACTTTTTTACATAATTTCTTGCGAATGCGCATACCAGTCCATAAATATGTAACAAAAAAACGAAGCAACGACTTATAAGTCGCGGAGTGGCGGCTTCTCCGCCACCAAAAAACATCAACCAATACCTGGCTACGCCGACCGGCACAGACTCCAACGGCCTGGACACAGCTCAAATTGAATATTTGAAATGAAAAGTCTCATATAAACACATTTATATTCTAGTTTTATCATTTGGCTTGGAGCTATTGAAGAAACAGCCACTGTCATTCCTGTTATGTACGTTCTTTTACTATGTTTGACAACTCCACATTTATAGAAATAAAAATATCATTTATCATATTATTCATAAAAAATAATATAGAACGGTATTACCATGAATATATTTATTTATAACAAATAACAAAAAGCAATTGGCAACATCGCCAAAATCACGCACAGGCGCTCTTAGTGTGACTGTCAAATCGAAAAAATTAAAAACAATATGGCTACGTGAGAATGTAGTGAATAAATGCATATTCTTAATTTTTTAGCTTACAAATGTGTTTTAATAATATTTGTTACTTTAATTAGGTTAGTGCACACTTATAGAAGATTAAAAAGTGTAAAAATATTATGGTTTTACTAAATCTTTATGAAAAAAGTGACAAAATTACTGGACCTAATATCGACCGTAGCCCTATGGTTATGTTGTAGTTGACGGGTCTAGAAATGCGCGCGTTCACACCACTCTGCACTGACGTCTAGAATTTGAATTTGCACAAGCCACGTTGCCAAATCTCCACTTTAATTTCAGCTTGTTTTATTTTTTAGTTTATTTTTCAACCAAATTGTAACCTCTGTACATTAAAATGTATGATAAATAAATATAAAGATTTATATTATAGGTATTTTGAAATAACAATTCTGTTTTGTTTTATAAGACAGTTTTGATAGATTTCAGATTTAAATTTTGTAATTATCACTATTGAAAGGTATTATTCACATTAAAAAACGATCGTATTACTTGAAAATCTTCAGAACATTTTTTTATTTTTATGGGTTTTTTAATCGATGTAAAAATTGGTAAATAGATGATTAAAAGTAAAAAAAGTAATTTCAATCTGCTTATTCCCTGGTTCCAAATAATTAAATATAACCTGGCAACTCCGTAACGATTCCGACTGGCAGAACTAGCCGGAACAGGAATGGTGCGCACTGGCCCATTTCCAGACCCTTCAACTGCAACATAACCAAAGAATTATTGTAATCATTTTTTGAACAAACTAAAATTGTAGCTGTGTTCAAAACCAACGAATCGTTTACGGATGCATCCGTTTTCGGTTCACTTACTCTTGTGTTGGAGAACATATAGAAACAAACATATCTTTTTCTACGCCCACATGGATATTAACTATTCTACGCAGAGACTACAAAACAAGAAAGTAGCCAATTGCGTTCAACTGAATGAATATATTTTATATACATTCTACCTAGTAATAATACTGCACGGTTATGAAATCCACAAATCACAGCTCATATTTTATCATCAGGCTACTATTATTATTTTTTTAAATTTTAAATAAGTGACAATTCTAATTGTTACTATATTTTTTATATATTAAAATAAAAAATAATTAAAAATGGGTGTTTCTTGTGAAGAATCGATAAATAATAGCATTTCACAGAATATTTGCCTATATTTACAAAACAATCATACATTTTAATCAGTGGCGTAGCCAGCCTTGCGGGGCGGAGGGGACATACATTTAAAGGGGTACAACATACATTTTTATTTGCGGAAAAAAACAACACCCTGTATATTCTAAAATATTTTTAAAATATGTCTTGTTCAAATCCATATAAGTTTTAATTGAAACTTGTTTGTGTATCTATAACACAAATTGATTTATTGAAAAATTAAGCACCAATTGGACATCCTGTATGAATATTTTCACGTAATATATTACTATTTCTAATAGCATTCGTATAATAATTATTGTTCAACGTTATTTAGAATTTTTTCGATCATTTTTTTTGTTGTACATTTCGGAATCGTATGCATGTCGCTAAAACGTGATATTTTATCAAGAATTTTATTACAACAAATAAGCATACGTTTATTAATTGTTTAAAGTGCATCGATTATATTATTTATTTAAGTGTATGCAAATATCTTAAACACTTCCGGAATGTATGCACAACATTTTTTTCGCGCATATTCACCCAATACTTTCTCATAGTCTAAATGCGTACATTAAATAAGGGTTCCCAGTAATTACAAAAAAAGTACAAGTACATAATTGTTCTTTAATATTTCTTCTTTTTTACATGTTCAATTAACACTTTTGGGACGTACTACACGAAAGAAGCGCATGCAAAATATTTTTCGCGGTACATTTTTTAAAATTTAAAAAAAAAAAGAACTATTTGCATGCATTTACTAATTGTACGGAATTATCCATTTTCATTAAAAATGTACAATTTCCTTGGTGACGCCGCTGCGTGCGAGCGAGATAATTGGCTAAAACATGTTAAAAATCTATAATAATCATAACTTAAAAGATGTATACATTAAAAACATTGCTCTTTTAAATTATTGATTTTAAAACCAAAAATAGTATATTATGCAACGATCATGTAATGATGGTTATTAATACACGAGCATTAACCGGGATACGAAACGAGCCAAAGGCGAGTTTCGTATGGTTTATGCGAGTGTTTTAATAACCATTACATGAGAGTTGCATACGCTATTTTTTCTACACCCGATAAATAATCAAGACCTATAAATATTCTATTTATATTGGCATTGAACACAATAACAGTAATTACTCGTATTTCTATAAAAAATTCTACAAAATTGTAATTAATGGTATTACCTTGGGTATTGGTATTACCACAGATTTTTGGGGCAAAATATTTTGTACTGCATTTTCTCCTTTCTCCGATATGTGTGGAGGAGTCTTCTATATCGCTGATATCAGACATTTTAATATTATAATTATCGAAGTTTAGCTATCTACGAAAATTTAATACGTTTTGACAACTAAAACAAATACATAGGAATTTAGGACAAACGTCAAACATCATGCTTGATTGAAAAATTGTAGGTTTCTATTGATTAAAAATCTGTATCATAATGAAAAATCTGTATCATAATGGGTATCATTATGAAACGGATTATGGGCATATAAGTGCATTATTATAATACGGGTGTAGAAAAAGGTTTATTTTTGTTTTCTTTTCGCACTGGTGATATAATGAATTTTTCGAAACCAGTTTCATAATGTTCAACATTATGCAACTGATTGCGTAAAATAGATCATTTTGACACTTGCTGCGATTATAAAAAATGTCACTTTATATGTTAAAATTAGAAGAAAAAATATTAGAGACATTTCAAACAAATACGGTGTTGTTTTTTAAAAACATGTTGCCAAATATTTTTCAATTTCAATGAATGTTAAAGGGTGTGATAAAACTAACTATTTATTGTGTATACAGGTGGCAAGGGGCGCCTAGCAAGGGAAGCGGGAGGGGCAAACGCCCCCCCTGGCTACGCCACTGATTTTAATAAAACTAGATAAAATCAATTTAATAATGAGTATTAAGACAAAGAGTAGTGTACTGATTTACCATTCGAAAGATGCTGGGTTCAAATCTAGGATTATTTAAATATTTTTTATCTAGTTTATTTTATTTTATAAATTTTTAAAACTCATAATTATTTTTAAATTGGATATTTTATCTTAATAACTTAAAACAAATGTTAAACATTTGTAGATTTTCGTTAGTGGGTCATAGAAAATATATACTGTACAACTCGAGTGTATCCCGTATCGCATTCAGACTTCGTGCGATATGGCCATCATAGCTAATCTTGTAGCACAAACTACTATTTTTTTTATTAAATCACACCCAAAAATTGACAAAAAAACACATATTTACATTGTTATAAGCATTTTTTGATTTCTTGAGTGTACTTAATTTACTTACTTACTTAAATCTCTGATAAAGTTGACTTATTATCAATTTAGTGTATTTTTTTCTCGTTGCAACTATTGTAGTTGTTTTTCAGGAAAGTACGCAATTAATTTTGAAGTGTGACAGCAGTGTAAATCCAGCGTAATAGACGTAAATATTGATTTATTCATA